GGAGAGACATTTTGTTGATGGGCTCCTTTTCAGCTACCCTGTGGGGTACGGGGAGAGGGGGGGGAGCGTGAGCCCCTAATGCTGTTCTTCCGGAGCGGGGCAGCCACGGGGTGACGCAGGGGGCGAGCGCTGATCTCCCTTCTCCCAGCTCCCAGCCCCGGCAGGGCACCCCAGCTCGCCATTGCCCCTCAGAGCCCCCAGCAAACCCAGGTGCAGGGCAGGGAGCTCTGCCCCCTTCACGGCCTCCGCCGGAGCCTCTGGGCCTGGCCGGGAGCCCCGGGTGTGATGTGGCAGCGGCCCAGCCCTTGCTTGCTTATGTGCTGTGGAGCCTCCACCCTTCCCAAGCCCTGGCAGGGGACGGGGAGCTCCACACCAGCCCGCGCCTCCCTGCGCCCACTCCCCCCCAAGGCTCCCTACCCTCCCGACCCCCTGGGACCCCAGCCAGCCCACGGCGAGGGAACCAGGGCCACAACACTGCCATGTTAGGAGGCAGCTGCGCTCCCCGGCACAGGCTGCACGGTTGAGCCCTGGCCAGGGGAGCAGATGTGGGAACTGGCTGTGCCCAGTTCTCAGGATGGAAATGGATTTTTCCTTCTCCGCCCCCCAGCATCAATCACTTTTTCTGTTTGGTTTTAGCCAAACAAGAGGGGAAAAAAAACCAAAAACCCAAACGCTTCATGATGCAAGTAACATGAGCTGTGAGCCCCCGTCCCAAACTCGTGGCCAGCCCTGGCCAGGCTCTGCGTGCCGCACCGCTGCCCTGCCCTCAGCCCCATGCCCTCCATGGGCTTTGGGGCCCCAGTGAGCCCCAGAACCGCCCATCCCCAGGTTTGGATGGGCTTCATCTGGGCCAAAATAAAGCCCGACAAACCACGCATTGCTGCACTCGCCCCAGGACGAGCGACACGGGGTGTCACCTGCAGCTTTGGGACATGTCTGCAGAGCTGACTGTCTGTGGGTCTTGGCCACCCACTGCAGACAAGTTGCAGAGATCATTGCACCTTGTTTCGCAGGGGCTACTGCTGGATGGATGGGAAGGAATGCAGCACTCAGTTTTCCCCGCTAAGGGGGACACTGCACAGCTCCCAACTGGTTCCCCATCCTGTACCGAGGCCAGCTGCTCCCCATGGAGAGCTCATCCCAACCAGCTGCACAGCGGCTGTGGCAGCCAAGAGCTGCATCTTGCCAGAGGACACGTGCTCCCTGCAGAGCTGACCTGCCCGAGAGGCCTGGGGCCACACAGTCCCCGCTGGCACCATGGCTGGTGGCCCTGGGGTGCCAGGGGCTGCTCTATGGGGCAGAATGGCTCCATGATCCCTCCAGCATCCTACCGGGCCCACAGAGAAGAACCATGGGAAGGCAACACTGACACCAGCCAAAGGGACTTGCAGCGTGCTGGGTCCCGGGCTGAACAGGCTGCAGGCTGGCCAGGACCCCGGCAAATGCGCCGGAGCCCGAGGAGATGGGGCAGGTGGGACAGAGCTGGGCTGGAAGAGGGGCCCTCCGCCGCCTGCACAGCACCGAGCCCAATTGCCAGCCCCAGCTGCTGCCCACAGCCCTGGTCTGCACCAGCACAGCACCATCTGCCTCCAGTTTGGGATCAGCCTGCGCCTGCTCGGGCACCACAGGAAGCAGACAGCAGCTCTCCCTCTGCTCATGTCCCATCCCCACGGCAAAGCAACAACACAGACCCGTCCTGCACCTCCTGCCTGTGCCGGGCAGCCCTCCGGGCGCCGCCGCTCACCCTGCTCGTGGGCCAAGCCGAGCCGTTACCTTTTCAAGTGCTCTAGCAGGAAGAGGAAGGTGATGAGGTTGGGGTCAGGCAGCGAGCGGAGAAGGTGCATCATGCAGTTCTCCTTGGCAGCAGGATCCGAGAGGGCTGCAGACAAGGAGGCAGAGGGCTCAGGACGGGGGCTCATGACATCTTGTGCAGCAGCAGGACCCACCATGGCCGGACACCCCCCCACAGCCAGTGCACGGGCGGCTGGCCCTGCGTCCCGGGGAGCAGCACCATGAGCCCCAAGCTGGCCTGGAACCAGCAAGGCCAGCCAGGACCGAGTGGGTCAAGCTGGGAAGGACCCTCAGGAGTCTCCCATCCTGGAGCAGACAATGCCAACCAGCCGTGCTTGGGCACCGACCCCTTTCCCAGCCCCAAGCCCTTACCGATCCCCTCCATGAAGGCAGGGTAGAGTCTGTCAGTGAGGAGGGGTTCGGGCAGCTCGCGGAAGTACAGCTTCAGCGTGCCGGCGATGGCGTTGATGTCCATGTCACTCAGCATGACCAAGATGTCCTTATTATCTGTCCAGAAAGCACCCACATGTGATGCCTCCTGCACCTCCTTCCCCTCTGGGTCTCAACCCCCACGTCACCCCAGCGTCACTGGGTCCACAGCCCCATTTAGCCAGGCTGGGGCTGGGAAAAGCCAAGCAGTTCCTGCCTGGCCAGGCAATGGGACGCGGAACAACTTGCAAATCCATTTGCAACGTTGCCCTGAGTCAAGTGTCCCCCAGGAGCCAGCCAGGCATGGCGGCAGCTCAGAGACACCAAGGCACAAACAAGGCTGGGAGCTCTGGGCGTTTGCTTTCCCCTCCTCCTTGCCCCCAGACCCTTCCTGGGACACACGTGCAATGCAATTACCAGACCCTGGGCTTGCAGGGCAGGGGACTGGGGGGGGGTCTCAGTGTCTGTGACACTCACTTGCATCGAAGACAGCCTTCAATGCCTGGATGTCAGTGGCGACACCAGAGATCCTGTAGATGCCGACCTCTTCGATGCCCCTCTTCTCCACCTCCTCGATGCACTGGCGCACGATGTAAGGCACCTTGGAGCGCTCACGCCTGGCTCGGAAAGCAGAGGCATGAGCAGAGATTCCCGGGGGGCCCCGCCGTGGCCAGACCAGCCCTGCAAACCCTGGACCAGGGGCAGGATGGGCATGCTGGGTGGAAGGGATGGGGCTGGTGAAGGAACAGGCAAGTCCCCAGCAAAGAGCAAAAGCCGAGCTCTCCCAGTGCTGGTGGGAGCAAGGGGACATGCTGCAAAGATGGAGCAGGTCCTCCAAGTCCCCCAACCCCAAGCCCACAGGGACCAGAGCAGATCAGCCCTCCTAGCCCTGCACGTACTTTGTCACGACGCTGATCTTGACCCCAAAAACACCAGTCTGCTTTTTGGAGGGAGTCCTCTTCAGGCTCATGTCTCTACTCGTAAACTTCATGGAGAACTCCACCTTGATCTGCAGGAGACAGGGGTGAGTCCCAGCAGCCCAGCCCATCACCTCCACATCACACGAGGGCACAGCACAGCCCCAGGGAAGGGGCTGCCATCAAACAAAGGGGCCGTGTGTCCCCACAGCCCCACTTACCCCGTTCATCTCAATCACATCCATGTGCCAGTTCTTTGTCTGCACGGCCTGCGGGTCCAGCTGTGAGGAGAGAGGGTGTGTGAGCTCCGCAGGGACGCAGCCCCATGCCAGCCCCGCTGGTACCCCCACCTGGTGGCCCCTGAAGCCCCCACCCCACAGACAGTGTCAGTCATGGGACACGCTCTGCCCTGGCAATGTGCTGCCCATGGGAGGATGGAGAGGGGAAGGTCTGGGGTCCCTGTGGCTGTGCTCCAAAGCCGGGTGGGCTCAGCCTCCCTGCCTGGTCCCCCCCCATGCCCCCATGAGGCAGTGCTTTAACCCACACCCGAGAAGCAAGAAATTTCCAAGAAATCAGGACTATTTCTGGCGGCAGATTGATGAAACAGAACTAGGGCAGCGTTTTCCGTGCAGAAAAACAACATCTCCCCATAGCCAAGGCTATTTATAACCCCTGGGAATGACGGGCTCTGCTATTTCTGGCTTTGGGGCTAGCAGGGGACTCGGTGATGCTACCCCGGTGCCCGGCCGCTGCGGTGAGGTGCCGGTGTTCCCAAGGCCCTGGCACGTGCCATGGCGGTCTCCAGTCCCCAGGGCTGGGCAGAGGCGGGTGCAGTTGCCTTTCAGGGCTTTTTGGTCCCCAGCTGGTGGTATCGATCCGACCCCATCGATCCCTGTAATGCACGGGGCAGGCAGCGGGGCAGAGCCCGACACTAATGTCCCCTTGGGGAAAGGGATGGGATGGGGGGGCTGGCGGGGCCTTCCAGGGCCATGTGCACGCAGCTGCCAGGCACAGCTCGCACCAAGCGTGCGGGGTCACTCCTCAAGGACGCAGGGGGTTTCCTACAGCTGCTGGCTCGGGAGATGCTCGAGGCGAGCACAAAGATGTCCAGAGCCGCTGCCCTGGCCATGGAGCTGCTGTTCCCCTGCCGCAGCTTCTGGCTGCCCGTGAAACCACTGATGGGGGGGACCCTGGGGTCCCTCATGTCCCTTTTGCACACCAAGACCTCATGCTCCCGAGGACAGGCTAGAGGTGCCCTGGCTCTTGGCACAGACCCAGCACCATGGCATCACCAGCCCTGTGCCGTGCTGTGCCGGAGCAGCTCCTTGGCAGCCGCGGGGCCACGGGAAGCTCTGCAGCTTCCAGCACAGCCCGAAATGCTGCGGTCTCCAGCATGGCCCAGGAATGGCTCACAATGTGGAGCCCTTCCCAGCACCCCTGCCCCAGCCCCACCAGTCCTGCGGCTGCTGGGAATGGCAGCATGGGGGGGACAAGCAGGAGGAGGAGGAGGAGGAGGAGGAGGAAGGCTGCAGCTGCCCTGGACTCCTGCGGGGCTCTGCTACAGGTTTGGAATCCAGGATCACGACGCTGCAGCCAGACCACTGCCAACCTCAGCCCTGCTGCTCCAACTCCCCCACGCTCCCTCCTCAGTGCCGGATCCCCCCGTGGCACTGCCATGCACCCACCATGGCCAACACCAACCCAACGCCGCCTGTCCCATGGGGCTTTCACCCTGTTTCCCCACATAGCCAGTCCCGCTCATGGCAGTGTCCAATCCTGTGAGCCCCAGACAGCGGCAGCGAAGCCCTTCACACCCCAGCCAAGTCGGGAGCTGTGGGCCTCCCCACTCCGCAGTGTGAGTTTAATTGCAACCACCACATACACCTTCCCCATCCCTGTCCCCCAGGTCCCCCTGGCTCCGATGGCCCTGGCAGCTCACATCTGGAAGGGCTTTAGCAGGGCTCTGAAGAAAGCTTTAATAAAAGCCAGGTTGGCTGCCATCAGCGCTGCAGACCTTACCCTGAGTATGCCACCCTCCTGCAGCTGCTTGCCCCCGGTCGGGCACAACTGTCCCCATCCAGCTCCCCGCAGCAGCCGGCACAGCCCCAAATTTGAGCTAGTTCAGCTGGCGCCACTGGCCCAAGCTCCCCTTGCTCTCCTCCAGCCCTGCTTGCTGGCACCCTGCACAGCAGGCAGCACCGCCACGCTGCCCGCTCCCCACAGGAAGCAAAGCCACGGCCAATGCTTCATCTCCAGGCGTGGGAAGACGGACGGGAGCATCCACCCACAGTGCCAGAGGCAGCTCCTGCCCACACGCTGCTGGCAAACACCCTGTCTCAGCTACCACCACTATCTCCTTTCTCCTCCGAAGGGAGCTGCCTTGCTCCAGCACGGCGCAGGGACGTCCCAGGCCGGTGAGGAACTGCTGGCCTGGGAGCCCCGGGGAACAGCCTCCCTGCCAGCGCCGTGCAGGATGGCACAAGTGACATGCTGCTGTCTCAGATGTCGGCTCCTCTTTAGCAGCTCGGCACTCAGCTGGCTTCAAACACCAGCCTGTGCCGGGGGGAAACAGCTCAGCCGAGTCACCCGTGCCTCTCCGGGCTGCTCCCTCCTGCGTCTCAGGGGACTCTCAGCAGCAGTGCAGCATCCATGCCCCGGCCAGCATCCGCCACGGTGCCACACTGGTGCAGGTCCCCCCCTGGTGCTGGCTGCAGGGATATGCCATCATCACATTTTCCCAAATTATCCAAAGGTGTTTGCTTGTAGGACAAGGCCCCTGGTCACAGAGGGAAAGGTGGCAGCGTGGCAGGCAATGAGCATCCCAGCAGCTCAGCAGAGCTCTGTGCGTCCTGGGGAGGCTCCAGTTGCAGAGGGCCCCCCCAGACCTGCTGCTGCTTCCCTCCCACAGCCCCTGCCTGCTGCTTGTCCCATGCATGGGGCGACTGGACTCAAGGGGATGCGGCCACATCCTGGGATTTGTCCTCAAGACACCTTTGAGCTGTGCATTGCAGATACAGCTCCTGCACAGGCAGCAGCAGCTGGGACAGACCCAGGCAGCACTGGGTCCCTGGGGCTCCCAGGTGAGGAGCTGGGACAGCTCCAAACCCTCGTGGCAGCTCTCCAGGGCCCCAAGGACTGGGATGCTGCAGTAGGGTAGGGGCTGCCAGGCTGGGCACGTCCCTTCCTCGCACCTCATACCCATGAGGTCACCCAACCATCAGCCTGGGGTGAAGCCATCAGGAGAAAGTCAGTGACTCAGCCAGTGAGGCCATCTCTGCCTGGGAAGTGGGATCCCAGGGGAGCTGCTACAGCCGGGGTCACTTCTCATGCGCATGGCACCCACAGCCACCCCAGCAGCTACTCCGGCTCTGCCGGGCAGGAGATGCCCCCACCAGACCCCCGTGCTGGCAGCTCCCTCCCCAGGGAACAGGCGTCCCTGAGCCTCTCCGTGCCATGGGGGCAGAGTGGCCCCCGCACCAGCGAATGCTGCTGGTGGCAAAGCACAGCCTCAAAGAAAGCGACGATTCACAGCCCTGTCTAGAGCAACCTGAGAAGCTACAGGCACCCACGGCACGCCGGGACCATGCACAAACCCGCCGGGGCTGCACCCAGCCCCTGCA